ACCACGCCTGCGTGGTCTGCCCGCCTGAGCCATACTCCTCGGTCGCAGCCCGATTGCGCCGTACTTCTCGGCTTCATGCTCCCCGAGACCACGCCTGCACGGCCTCCCGCTTGCGTCGTGCTCCTTGGCTCCATGCTCCCCGAGACCACACCTACGTGGCCTGCCCGCCTGTGTCGTGCTCCTCGGTCGCATGCTCTCCGAAGACCACACCCGCGCTGCCTGCCCGCCTTCGTCGTGCTCCTCGGCTCCATGCTGCCCGAGACCACACCTGCGCAGCCTACCCGCTTGCGTCGTGCTCCTCGGCCGCATGTTGCCCGAGACCACGCCTGCGCAGCCTGCCCGCCTGCGTCGTTCTCCTCGACTGCGTGTTGCCCGAGGCCTCGCCTCCACAGCCCGCCCGCCTAAGTCATACCCCTCGGTTACTTGTCGCTCGAGACCGCATCCTCTGCTCAACCCGACCGGTAACGGACCAGCAGCCGCCCGACAAGAACAAATACTGAAAGCTGAAGCCATGCCTCGGACTTCCGTTACAATGACCGATGCATAGCTTCTTTCTGGGGGGAAATATGATGAGGATAATAATTGCGATAAGACCCGACTGACGTCAGCTACCCCAAATGACGCCTCACGCCTCGATCGACCCTACAGCACCCGGTCAAATGGACCAGAACACCGGTCGAGGCGCATTGACGTCCTGCTCAGGCCCAACCATGCACGCCACGCCAACTAGTGTTAGACGCCACCAGGAGTACGATCCTGCCCCTGCAAGCGGGCAGATCAGGCGACGGTAACCTCCCTTATAAATACCCTTGCGTTCATCTGAGAAAAGGGGGAGAGACCTTAGCTAAACAAACTTCCTCCACTATCTTCTAACTTGATCGTCGGAGGGGTCGGGTCGGGAAGCTAGACCCGACCTTGTGCAGGTGCGAAGCCGAAGGTCCCCACCGGACGCGCAAGCGAGGAGTTCTTGCCCGGAGGAAACGGTGACCCCGCTCCAATCGGACCACCGCAGTCGGCCACCTCAGCGGACCCGAGAGCCGTACCGAGAAGATCCCCGTCATCCGGACCCGAACCGAGCCACGTCGGCCCCGAGGCCACAGCTCAAGGTGGTTTCCCACAACAGTAAGGATCTATCTACTCAACATTTTTGTTTTCTGAAATGCAATTATTCTTTTTATGTGACAATTAATTTTGTTTCAAATTGAACATATCAACAAGGTTTACAGTAAAGTAAGTACTTAACTGGAACAGGATATGTAGCTTCCTTCTATGAATTCAATCTTCCATTTTGATCCTTCAACTTTCCAGCTTATACTGAAGATAATGCATTACAGGACTCCTTTGATCCTCTGTAATCCACATCCACTAGCATTACAAAACTCCCCTCCCTTTCTTGCATACCATGTCATGCCCAATTCTTTTCAATTAAGAAGGCCACCATCACATAAACTAAAACCAAAGAACTCGTCATGATGGAAAAGGGAGGTAGTGATTGGTGCTTTAAGATTTGCACGCTCGTACAGCTCCTTGTGTACCCGAGGAAGCCTGCAAATGGCATGGAAGCTACAACGATGGAGGCCTGCACATGCGTTTCTATCCCCTCCCATGGTGTTTCTCTCTACTTGACTGAGCACCCAAGAAGATGAATAAAGAAAGGCTCCAACCATGTGTGTTCATGTGGGCGGAGGGCGGCTTGAGTTGGACGCATTTGCTGTTTGGTGGCCTCATCCATCTCTATGATTGCATGCATCTGATGCCCAACTCTTCCCCCCGTTCCCCCTTCGCATGTCCGAGCTACACACACCCTTCTCCTTCCTTCCTTCCTTCCTTCAAGCCCATAATGGAGATGAGAACATGCATAGATTCCCAGAGACAAACCAGTGAACTCACCAACATGGACAGAAGATGAGTTCGAGGATGATGGTTGAGGAACAGAGGGCAACGGTTGAGTCGGTTGGGGTCATGTTCATGCCCTACTGTAGATGACTTGGAAGCACATGTAGAACCCAAGGCAGAGAGAAGCATCTCCAGTTCATTCCAAACACAACTTGTGGTACTCGAAAGATTAGGCTAATGAGAGAGAATATGTTCATTCTGCTTCTATCTATTGGATATAATTTTGTACATACGTGATCTCTAACTTTCACCTTTGGCTGTGTTATCTATGACATTTGTCACAGATCTTTCTTCTGACAACTTGAAGAAAGAGCTTCTCTCTCTCTCTCTCTCTCTCTTTCTCTTTCTCTTGCTTTTACTTTGTCTCAGTATGCTTTAATCATTGTGAGCTCTCACACATTCTCGCCATGTTTGATGTCGGAGGATGTTCTCGACGATCCAAAAGTCTCCAGGCATGACACTCCCATCACCAGCTGTTTGATGATCCCGAGACCCCACGAGCCAACCAAATCCATTATATAATCGCTAGCCAATAATCATGCACTGAAAAGAGTTCTTAATTCCATGTCTTCAACTCATTAATCTTCTACACAGCATATTCAATCTCTTCTTCCCATCATCTCCCTCCTCCTCTCGCTCTCTTGTTTCAGAGAAGAGGGAAGTCGCAAGTATGACACAGAGCTGATACAGAGGTAAGCAAGAGGAGGAAGAAGAGAACAAGAACGGAAATGTTTACGAGACTAGCTTTTATCTTCTTCTTGGCCTTCTTTTGTGCTGTCATTGCGTATGCCGCTCCGGCGGACGAGGTGGCGGCGCTGCTGTCGATCAAAGCGGAGCTCGACGATCCGTTGAATGCCCTTGGAGACTGGAATCTGCCGACCGACGTCGCTGGCTCGTCCCACTGCAACTGGACTGGCGTCCGGTGCAGCTCGACGGGCGCCGTCGACGGCCTCGACCTCTCTCACCTGAACTTAAGTGGCCTGATCGCCGGCGACATCCGCCGGCTCACGAGCCTTGTCCGCCTCAACCTGTGCAGCAATTCCTTCTCTTCGTCTCTCCCGGAGGCCATCGCCGACCTCACCATGCTCCGGGAGCTCGACGTTAGTGACAACAACTTCGTCCGTCACTTCCCGACCGGCCTCGGCGGGTTCCAGGGCCTGACGAGCCTCAATGCCTCCGGGAACAACTTCGACGGGCCGATCCCCGACGACATCGGCAACGCTACGGCTCTCGAGACGCTGGATCTGCGAGGGAACTTCTTCGCTGGTTCAATCCCGCTGTCTTACCGGAACTTACAGAGATTGAAGTTCTTGGGCCTTTCCGGCAACAACCTCAGGGGAAGACTCCCCGCTGAGCTCGGCCAACTCTCTTCGTTGGAGACGCTTATAATTGGGTACAACGAGATCGAAGGTCCGATTCCCGTGGAGCTCGGCAACCTGACAAATCTCCGGTACCTCGACATGGCGGTCGGCAACCTCAGCGGTGCCATTCCTGCAAAGCTCGGAAGGCTGCAATCCCTCACCACCGTCTACTTGTACAAGAACAATCTCGATGGCGAGATCCCGAGAGAAATCGGCGATATCTCATCGCTGCAGATGCTGGATCTCTCCGACAACCTCATCTCCGGTTCGATACCGCCGGAGTTGTCGCGACTGAGTAATCTAAAGCTTCTCAATCTGATGTGCAACAGACTCAAAGGCGCGGTGCCCGCCGGCATCGGTGAGCTACCTCAGTTGGAGGTGCTGGAGCTGTGGAACAACTCGCTCTCCGGCGCCTTGCCGGCCAACCTGGGCCTGAACTCGCCACTGCAATTGCTCGACGTTTCCTCGAACTCGCTCTCGGGGAAGATACCTGCGGGAGTGTGCGACGGTGGCAACCTCACCAAGCTCATCCTCTTCAACAACGCCTTCTCCGGGCCGATCCCGACCGGCCTGTCGACATGCCTCTCGCTGGTTCGCGTTCGAATGCAAAACAACCGGCTCAACGGTACCATACCGAGTGGTCTCGGGAGGCTACCGAAGCTGCAGCGGCTCGAACTGGCAGGCAACGAGCTCTCCGGCGAGATACCGGACGACATCTCGTCCTCGACCTCGCTCTCCTTCATCGATCTCTCGCACAACCACCTCCGCTCGTCCCTCCCTTCTAACATACTATCCATGCCGACGCTCCAAACCTTTTTGGCCGCCGACAACGAGCTGACCGGAGGAATCCCGGACGAGTTGCAGGACTGCCCATCCCTCTCTGCTCTCGACCTTTCGACCAACCGCCTGTCCGGGTGCATACCGAGCAGCCTAGCCTCATGCCAGCATCTCGTGTCGCTGAGCCTCCGGAGCAACCGGCTCACCAGCACGATCCCGTCCTCGCTTGCGACGATGCCAACGCTCTCCATTCTGGATCTGTCGAACAACTTCCTCACCGGCACGATCCCCGACAACTTCGGCGGCTCGCCGGCTCTCGAGATGTTGAATTTAGCCTACAACAATCTCTCGGGCCCCGTGCCGGCCAACGGCCTATTGCTTACCATAAACCCGGATGATCTCGCCGGCAATGCAGGCCTTTGCGGTGGCGGCGCACTCCCTCCGTGCGCCGCGAATTCACCATGGGCATCGACGACGAGTTCCAAAGCGTCTCACCTCAAGCACATCGCAGCCGGATGGCTGATCGGGATTTCGGCGGTCTTAATGATTGGGCTCGGCGTTCTCGGGGCACGACGGCTCTATCAGATGTGGCACGTTGACGGCGGGTGCTGCGGCGACGGCAAGTTTGAGGAAGAGACCGGCGCTTGGCCTTGGCGGTTGACGGCATTCCAACGGCTCAACTTCACGAGCACCGACGTGTTAGCATGCGTCAAGGAGGCCAACATCATCGGCATGGGCGCCACGGGGATCGTCTACAAGGCCGAGCTCCACAGGCACCACGCAGCGGTGGCGGTGAAGAAGCTGTGGCGGCCGGAAGGGGCCGCAGCGGAGTTGGGCGATTCCGATGCCGGGGATTTGGCTACGGAAGTGAGCCTACTAGGAAGGTTGAGACACCGTAATATCGTGAAGATGCTCGGCTACGTGCGAAACGGCGCCGAGATGATGATACTGTACGAGTACATGCAGAACGGCAGCCTGTGGGAGGCTTTGCATGGGAAGCAAGAGGGGCGGCTGCTGGTAGACTGGGTCTCCAGGTACAACGTGGCGGCCGGAATCGCGCACGGATTGGCCTACCTTCACCACGACTGCCACCCGCAGGTGATCCATCGTGATGTGAAGTCGAGCAACGTGCTCTTGGATGGGAATCTGGAAGCCAAGATCGCCGATTTCGGCCTGGCAAGGATGATGGTCCGCAAGAACGAGACTGTGTCCGTCGTCGCTGGATCGTATGGCTACATTGCCCCAGGTCAGCGGCATATGTCGACCGTCGACGGAACTCTTTTAGCTACTGGCATTACTTAACACTGGATGCTTGTGTGTTCTTTAACAGAGTACGGCTACACATTGAAGGTGGACGAGAAGACCGACATATATAGCTTCGGGGTGGTGCTCATGGAGTTACTGACAGGGAAGAGGCCCGTAGAAATGGAGTTCGGGGAGAGCCAGGACATCGTCGGGTGGGTCCGCGGGCGGCTGAGGAGCAACCACGGCGTTGAGGAGCTGCTCGACAGCAGCATCGGCGGACGTTGCGAGCACGTACGTGAGGAGATGCTGCTGGTGCTGCGGGTCGCGGTGCTGTGCACGGCAAGGTCGCCCAAGGACCGGCCGCCGATGAGGGACGTGCTCACCATGCTAGCCGAGGCAAAGCCGCGGCGGAAGAGCAGCAGCAGCGGCGGCGGTGGCGTGGTGGCCAAGGACAAGCCCGTGTTCACCACCTCGCCAGATTCTGGGTATCCGTAGACATGTAGTTATTCCATAGGAAAGGAACCGTTCGCCTTTAGATTAGTGTTTTTAGATGAATAACTAAATACGTATTGATATTTTAAAGGGCGTCGACTTACTTATCTATATCACGAAATCTCAACAAAGCTTCGGCTGCACTCAAACCGACTCGACTGAGCTCGAGCCGCATGCGGCCTTTTAGCCCAAATCCGTCAAATCGGCCGGTCTTCGGTGGTGTTGGGTTGCAATCAAATCTGCGGAAGTTGAAGCCCAAGTATCAATCGCGGGTCTTCTAAATGCCAGGTGGGCCGATATACCGGTCCAACCTAAAATCTCACTACCATACCGGTCCGGTCCGGTCCGGGCCGGTCGGGTCGGTCCAAACCAAGTTCTCTCTGCCGATTTCCTATTGACGGTGACCGCCTCGTGCTGCCTTGCCGCCGCAGCCGCTTGTCTTTGGTTTGCACCGCCTCTGTCGCCTCACCATCATTACTTCGACACTTAAACTACCGCTGCCGCCTCAGTCATCTTTTACTCTCCCCTTCGTTCTGTTCGACAAGTTTGTGTTAGCCACCAACGAATAATACTATATAATATCTTAATACTTCGCAAAAGAAGAAGAAAATATTTAGCTTAGACAGCAGCGTTTTGGGACTGTTTAAGACACCGGTGGCGAAATTTGTCTTTTTGTCTTTAATGGTTTTGGGACCCAAAGCAATCGATGAACATCGTCCGGTCACGAAATCGTTGATTGGTTACGGAATGACTATTATGCCCTCGTGGCATCCGTTAATGGAGTTTTCTCACGGCGATGTACGAAGGGCAAACAAGTCTATTGGTAGGCGCCATTGCGTGCCGACTTATATTTAGAGACTCCACAACACACGGCCTTCGATATTGTTGGTTCGTCCCTCTTCGTGGCGCGCTCCGATGGCGGTGCTAAGCAGAGATGTGGGCGGTGGGGGGAAACGGACCCGGCAAGGGAGGCGAGATGCCGACGGAGGAGCCCGAGCGGCACGGGAGGAGCGGGAGGGAGCGGCGAGGGATCCGCTGGTGGTGCTGGGGCCGGATGTGGTGACGAAGATTCTCGAGTTCGCGGACGCGCGCAGCGTGGCACGATGCACGGTGGTATCTCGCGGCTGGCATGAAATCGCCTCCAGCGACCGCCTTTGGGCCCCAAAGGTTGGTTCTTCACCCCCATGTATTCTCCTTCGCCATGCTTTCCGATGTAAACTGAGTTTAGCCCGATGTTTCTCGGCGACGAATTCGGCATATTTTACTTTCCTAAATCGATGCGATTCGAGCGGTAATTTTTCGCCTCCGGACAAGTTCGAGTTAAAGCGAGGGATGTCAAAGATTTGGTTTTGGTTTCTCGCACGCTTTGATGCCCTATTTTCTTGCATTTTAATGATTCTTTGAATTGCTCTATCTGCTATTTAACTAGTTTTTTGCACTTCTTTTGGAGCTCACTTTCTCTGCCTTTATTCTTCTCTTTGGCCTCCGTTTTCTTCTTTAAAATGTTCACTTATTCATGCAAAAAATCGTATTTTTTACTTCTTTTTGGGAAAAATTCTACATTCCTCCCCTGTGGTTGGAAGATCTCATACTCAGGCTCACGTGGGAATGACAAGTTCGATCAGGCTGATCATGTTCCCACCAAAACGTAAGATGTTAGCTTTTTCTAATGTTCAGGCGTTACTTGCATCGATCACCTTCATTTCTTGACTTCGACTGAGCATAATATCCATTGAGGTCTAAAGTAGAACAGACCCCAATGGAATCATACTTAGTGGTGGTGGTGGTGGGGATAGTGAACCACGCTGGCTTTTACTATTTCAGTGGATGATTAGTTCAAGCTATATGTGCATAATTGCAAAACCAGATTATACGAGAGGCCATCTACTTCAAAAACTTGACATAATACACGAAAAAGAGGGATAACTACATTCTTATCCTTTGAGCACGCGAAGAATCACACAGCATCCTACTGTATACACAAAGGTGCAAGAATTCAAGGTGGGGCTAGGAATTTTCAAGCCCAAGGGAGATTACTGTCAAATTTGACATTAGACTTAGCACTTTATTTTACATCATTGGGTAGATATCAACCTCACTTATCAGAATCTATCCACTGAAATTAATCCTGTCTCTATATATATTTTTGGTGTAAGAAAATTAAGGAGATAATCGTGTAGACTAGTCTTTTCATTTTCTTCGTGCTGTTTCTTACCTGAGCTATAACTGGTTTCCCGTAATTATGAACTCTGTGTTTTCATGAAGTTTCTTTTGAATAAACTCACTACTAGATGTTCTTGTTCCAGTATGCAAAATTGTTGAAAGGGAAGGCACATATCCCCCGGATGTCAAATTTGCGAGGAGCATCAAGACTAGCAGCTTATTCTATGTCCATTGTGGATGGGAAAAGAGTGAGAGATTGCCTTCAGATTGGATATTTTGTGCACAATCTATTTTCAGTCTCTTAGATTATTTTCAATCTTTTAGATCTTCAGTTCTGTTCTTTTAGGATAGACCTCCATGCATATATCTAATTTGCTGACTAGGGTTTTAACTACATGGATATTTAATTATGCTTTATAAGCTAAATTTTTGGTGTCACATCTTGCTGATGCAGTAGTTACTTCAATGATCTTTTTTGTGCTCAGAAGATTTGTCTGGCAGAATCTGATAAAGAGGAAGTACTCAATGAAAATAAGGAAATAAAGAAGAATGGCCACTTGGCTTTTAGTGAGAGCAAGATGGTTGTATGTGAACACTTTATAAGCTGAGTGACCTTGCTGTCAACTGACACTTTCATCGCTATAGGCATATTATCTTCTGTTAACAATTAAAGTGAACAGAAATCAACATTTCTTTCTCAGCAGCATTTTATCTTTTGGAGAGAGGAAACATTTTATATTGCAGGACACTCGTTTTGTTAATCTTAATGATCACATATACAAGCTTTTTCTATAAATGGGAGGTTAAAAGAATTTGTATTTCTATTGAATGCCATCCTTGTCTGTTACCTGCATGTGATATATGGATAACTAACCTGTAAATATTCTATAAAGATTTTAATTTCTGATCCTTTGTATCAGATTGCCATATTTTTGAAGCACCAAGTTGTTACTTAGAAAATAAAAACCAAGTACTTCATGCATCCATATGTCTTACAAGAAAGTACATATAGAGATATCAAAGAAGAGGAAGTACAATGTGTCGTTCAGAGTTTTGCTAACTGTAATCCCCTTGGAGAGCATAGAGGTCAAAATCCAATCCATTTTGCTGATTCTTTTATGCATATCTGAGGCTGGAACTTATGATGTAGATAGATCTAGTTAATAAAGTGCATCTTAGACTACATAATTTGAAAATTGGAAGAGGGAACCCATGAACTTGATCTATAGGCATTTGAAGATTAAAAAGACAATATTTTGTATTGTTATAGGCCATATTTTTAATCAAAGTACAATTGAACAATTGATTTCCAGAGTATTGGTTGCTATGAACTTTTCTTAAAAGTAACAAGGAGAGATGCTTCTAAAACTTCTTCTTACATCTCAAATTAGAGAATCTCAGCTTTCAATATTTGTATTTGCATGTGTTCTGATGTTGGCATATGGAATGTGTTTTGGAGTCAGCGTAGTATTGATCTCACATTTGAGGCCTTCAAAAAGCTCTGTCCATAAAGTAGAAGATGATAGATGTACCCTGACACGATTGGTGGAAGGTTAATAATCTGTTCCTTTACACGTTCGCAGTATGAATTTAGTCTTCTGAATGAAAAATAGCTATGTATTTGTGTATGCCATCTTCAATTGGTCTCATTGTAATAGTTCTTGAGGTAAGGTCACTTTGTCATACTGTTAAAAGGTCATTCATTGATGCAAACTACCTGCGGACCTCATTGCATTTAAACACAATTTTCATTCGGTTCCATCCGGTTCCAGACAAAGGTCATTCATATTTTATCTTCTACCTTGGGGCTTTAGGTGTTGAATTTTCATTCAATGCTACTATGTTTCCTCACCACATGATTCCACGTAGAATCATGTTCTAGAGTGCACTAAATTATAATAATCATTGATTTTCCAGACTCGCATCATGAAGGAGGATCTCTGCGATCATGTTTGGGAATTTCGTTATAAGAAGGTATGCAATACTACGCATTCATTAGCTCAACTAATAGATGAATTTACTTTCTAGCAAGGTCATTAGGAAGTAACTAGTACTCTCACCTCGATCCAATCTTTCTTTTGCAAATTCAATCAGTTGATCACCTTTCGGTAAAGCAGTGATCTACCAACTTATTGTCTTTTTTTAATCTTTATTGTATGAAGCTCTTAATAGTGTTGAATGTTTGGTTGGCAAATAGCCAACTTCTGATAGTAATTCTATCTGCTCTCTTCATTTATGTAATTTATTAATCAACTGAATCTTCCTTTTCAGTGGGGACAACCAGAAGCCTTCATTTCTGAAATGTGAAATGTTCAAATGTGGAAGTTAGATTGGCTGGGGTTTAACTCAAATTATTTAACTTGATAAAATAAGAGATTTGATTATTTAGCATAAACCTTGGCCTCTTTTTCTTGCGAGTGATATGTAGTCTTGGAAGATAAGAATTCAGGATTGTTAAAAAAGAAAAAATAAGATAAAAAAGAAAAAAATAAGACATTTCGGGGCACCGAGAACAGCTTCTGATATAGTATGTCAAGAAATTGATATAGTATGTCAAGAAATTGATGAAAGGAACGATGGTGGCCTTTGATTGAACTGATTAGCTGAACTGCTACAGTAATCATCTTTCCTTATTCCTCCTTTCACATGTTTGTTTTGCAGGCTGCCCCAGAATATTGGCGGAACCTCGATCCTTCATGGAAAGGCACCAGCCCACCGATGCACCGCTACTTCCATCCAAATGGCTCCCACACTGCAGATCGTGATGACAAAGTTTGGGGGGGGCACGAGTGCACGTACTCGATCATGACGAGCTACGTGGGCGAGGGGCAAATCAGGGACCACTACGTGAGGATCAACAGGTGGCCACCAATGACTGTGTCGAGGAAGGAGGATTGGAGATGGGAGATGAGCAACCACCTCTACTGCTACATCAGTGTCCCTGATGCCGAGAAGGAGGGTGGCACAGGACCTCTTTTTCCGGCATGGTAAGTAGAGGGACCATGCATTTGAAACCGGCAGTTTGGGACTTGTATATGAAGTTTAACCTTTCCATCTGTTGGATGGTGGGCAACTTCTAGTTATCTTGTGGCTTAAGGATTTATAGTTCTGAGAATATGACAAAGAATGTGAACCTTTCTTACTGTGTTATGGTTTTGCATTCCAGCAATCTTTTTTTGCTTTCGGAAGTAGTATATGGTGTAACCCATCCTCTCACCTGAATGAGTGGGTTTTTGGAAGAACAGCAATGTTATCAACCATGCATGGTGTAAGGACTTCTAAGAGTCGCAAATGTCACAGCTGACGAAGTACCCCTTTAGTCAGCAGACCACAGGAAAGCGGTTACCGTATCCGACTAATCCAATTCCAACGGAGGGAGCGACTGCGGTTAATCAGCTCTAACAGTTAAAAACAGTTATGAGCTATCACAAGGAATCTTGGGACCCCCTCGCCTCGGATACAATAGGCTCTTCCACTCTTGTCAGGTTTATTTAGTTCTACCTAATCCCCTCTAAAACCCATACTCTGAACCTTTCTTTCTTTTTGCAGACTTTAGCATCGGAGAAGGATCGAAGTTCTCTTCTTGCATAATTTTCTCTGACATCTTCTCTCGGATGATCATCGATTCACATTTGATTGGATCGGAAATGAACACGACCATTCAATCCTAAGCCCCTGAGCCTTACGATGCGCATGCCGGACTACTCTTCCAACCAATTAGCATTCTTTGCAATTTAAATAGTTGCATTATAAGATCCGAGCTTAAACAAAATAGGAAGGAGGCAAACAGTACAGTAACAAAGCCACCCGAATTGCTCTGCGAGTAGCCGTAGCCTCTACCGAACACATACACTGACTCAACAATAAGCAGGGCAAAACCATGAAGAATCACAGCTTTTGCATTGCCACTGTAGAATACCATCAAAATGCAAGGGCAAAACTTTAAAAGGGAAAATTCATAACACAGACTGCTCAAAACATACTTGTCATGTTAGATAACACCATTACCCTGTAATCACTGAGCAATGAACAATACAGGATCGACGGAAGCTCCGGTTACATGCTTCTGTACAGCATGATAAATAAACTCACCCATCTCCAACAAAGCCCCGTCCCGGAAACCATCAATCAGGAAAGAAAAAAAAAAGAAAAGAAAAAAACAACAGCACATACAATGTCCGATACCAAGGGACAATGGTTACACTATACAAATACACAACCTCGCCTCACCAAAAACAAACAATACACAGAAGACATTTAATGATCGATCGGAGCACCGGACCTTGCCTGTGAAATTCGGTTTGCATAGATAGTCACTAGCCTAAGTTGCGTGCTACTCAGACCCTCCAAATGTGGTAAGAATGACTTCCCAAGCATGATATAAATTTCCACCAAACAGAAAACAACAGTCTGAAAAATTAGAAACAACAAAAGAAGACTTGTGTCAGACAAATATTAACGAAGGGTCTAAGACATCACATAGAATGCACAAGTACATACATATCCATGATAAACAACCAAATAACAGACTTATCTCCTATGAACTTGAATCTCACTGTACCTCCCATGAAAAGTGGAAAATCAGTCAATGGTGTCTTCCAGAACATAATGAAAGCAAGTCTGTCAAGAATAGCTTTGCCAGGAAAATTGTTACAAGAAAAAGGGACACCCTATATCTTCAATACTATGTATATTTCTTTTTCTCAAACATGCTTCAAAAGCAGTTTCCCTTTCCCCTTTATTTCTTCTTCCTTCTTTATTTAAGATATACACATTTGGTCTTTGGCCGAGAAATTGAAAACCAAGACCACTAAGACAAAAAAAAGAGCCATTATCTCAAAACACCTTGCATATATTTACATGATGAATGTTGGACTGTTTAGCTCTAGAGGAAGAGAGATTCGAAGGACTTGATTTCGTGCACCAATTATGATGATCAAATCAACAGATCTGCCAAAATCATTTCCCTTTTCCTCTTATTTCAAAAGAATTATAAGAAATGTCAATATGTTAGAAGCTGTTTCCTAATCAACCACGTTTAGGAGAAATCAATAAAAGAAACAGCATGACTGAACAATGCACTTTGAAAACTTGTTTAAGACTCATGTCGCAGTTGATTGAGGGACAACAAAACTAAAAGAACGAATGTAAACAAAATGCAAAATGGTGCTCGAAGAATGAAAGACGAAATGAGAGAGAAAAGAAAAGGACCATTAGAAAGGAATGAGAGGTGAGGAGGGAGGGAGAGACAAAAGGTTAGGACAAGGCCACTGTGTTGGAGTCGGTTACTGATGCCATAGAAGTTCTGTCAGACCTTAAGAAGACTGGAGATCAGATTGTGGCACAATTGCCATGGTTCTAAATTGGTCACTAATGCGGGGCATCTCCCCTAAGCAATCACCCCCAATTACATTAACAGATAGGGTTGCAGCAGCCCAGGGCAGCAGGAGATAATGAAGATAGAAAAGATATTGGAACGGAAATGGAGGTGGTTAAAATTTTGGAGGAATGAAGGTGGAGAGGAACAAAGGGATGATGAGATGGAGAGGGAGTGGAGGTGGAAGGAAGTGGATAAAGAGGGGGAATGAAGAGTTGATGGCGGAATTTAATAGAGGACAAACTAGGATAAGGGAACTGAGAGGACAATTAGGTTTCTCCTCTATCTCATCTTACTTTTATTTGGATAAAAGTCAACAACATAGAACAATTGTATTAGGATATTCTAATTGTCAGCTCGAAGAAACTCTGATCTGTGAATAAATAATGAATCACATCTTTAGATTAAATTGCACCATTTACCAAATTGCAAGATCAGAGAATACATCCATATCTCTTAAATTGATTTGCTATTGAGCCAAAGAAGATCAGATCCTACACATTAACAGCTCTACCCATGCCACATTTGATAAGGGCCACAGTTTGGCACTCCTTAATTCTATTCAAAACCGTTGCACAAAATGTTCTTAGAAAAACACAAACAACAAACCATGCTACTCCGACCTTAGAATGCAGGTAGTTCAATGGTATAGATTAATTTCAAAAAACCAAATCTAGCAAACTTATCATTTATCTATCAGTTCTTTTAGAAAGATTTTGAATTTTTAATACTCGTAAAGCGTGTGCCTATGAACTCATTATCCAACATAATTATATATGTTTTTAGGCCTGTCACACTGTTGGTATAGACAAATATACAGACCTATTACCTCATGCTCATCTTTGGGTACTAACATTCTATTGTTTTGTACAAGTTTCTATTTTCATTGTCATGCTCTGTTCCACTCTAAACCCCATCAAACACAAGAAACAAAACAATGCCAGCTAGAATAAGATAACCGAATAGAGAACGACGCAAGCTAGAACACATGGAAAGGACAATAATAAAAAGAGAAAAAGATGTTTAAGTGAAAGAAAACAAAGGAGGTGATTAGCCTTAGGACACTTATAGTTGTTCAATGAAATTTTCTTGTGATCCTCTCAAATCTCACCTTGTAGGACCTGTCAGCACAAGAGATTGACTTGATGGTTCACTAAGCAATCTAAAAAACAATTATGTACTTGACATACCCAGTAACTTTAATGGACATACATAAAATGCAAATTTCAACTATTGCTACCATTGTGAAAAAGAACCAGGCTAATGTGATGGCCACTAATCATGTCAATACTTTAACCAGATAGATACCTTGTTCTTGTGGAATTACTAGGGAATCTAGATGCACGATAGAAATTGACAAAATGTTCATAATAACGGGTAATATTCCTCGAGATATACCAGCTTCATTCATGCAGATCATCTGATTTTGACTATTAGCACTACTTAAGTAAAGATGCTAATTTTTGTTATCCGGGCAAAAGTTCCAACTTGAAATGTTTCCCACATACATGTGTTTTCTATGTATGTATCACCATTTATGAGTTGCATTTCTTTTAAAAACTTGATAACACATCCATTGAAAAGGCAAAAAGAACATCATGACAAGGATCAGATGGGAAAAAAATAAAGATACATGTCTTGTCTATGCTGTACAGAGAATGAGAAATCATACCTTCCTCACATCTGGACTCTGGTTTTTGAATGCATTAAACAACGCCGGCAAAAAGGAAGGCAAATGTTTCATCAAATCTTCATGTGGAAGTCGACCAACAAGCTGGAGGAGAACTAACAGGAGTCATATTCTTAACATAGTCAATTGCAGTACACATATCAAAGGATTCCAAAATATTTTTACAATATTTATCATCAAAGATCAGCAGATGAGCATGAAACAATATGTTCCCCACTTCAGATTTAGGTTAGAGTAAGTCAGATGAGTAGATTGGAAGTGCTCTTTATATATGGATTAGATTTTCTACTGGAATGTTTTTAAAAATATTCATCATACTAGTACTCTATCTCCAAAAGTCAATAAAGGTCTTTTGTTCTCTTTTCAAACAAGAACGTTTCATGATAGCTCCATAATTCTCATGAAGATAAATTTCACTAAATTTTGCTTCTGCAATAACTAGATCATGGTCCAAAGTTTGATAATTAAATTATTCATCAGTTTCAACTTTTCAAAAAGAAGCTATGAAGAGAAACTGACAAATTGAAACAAGCTGTGACTTTTGAACCCGAACTTCCCGTTTTTTATCAATTCCCAAGGAAAAGACCCTCAACCACAAGAATCCAGCAAGTACATTTTACATAACTAAAAGGAAAGCAGATTCCAGTCAACATAACAATAAAAGCAATCTGACATGAAGGTGATGATTCTCATACAAAGCATCTACCAACATGAGGCAAACCCACACAATCCAAATGTGACAAGACCAATTAAAACACAATGGACCAGGATGGTGACAAATTCCATTTCTATGACAGCAGAAACAATAGATTAACCAACAATTTCAGGAATATTATTCTAGCAACGGATTGAAAGCACATTAAATTCTCAAAAGAAAAAAAAAAGAAATCTGGGTCTGAGACAATAGCAAGAAGCCAATAGAAACCCATCAACATGTTTCCAGGATGAACATAAATAAACGATGATGCACATTAAATTCTAAAACACAACATCTCTAGACGATAGCCAGAAGCCAAAAGAAACCCATCAACATGTTTGCAGGATGAACATAAGTAAAAAAGCAAGCACCTATACAATACAAACAATATATTAGGCAAATTTACAAGCAATTATGAGACCAC